GTCATTCAAACGTGCTGCTCTGCTCTCATCACAGCAGCAAACAAAATTCCAGAGTCGGGCTTAGAAAAGCCACCTGCTTCAAACTGGATTTGTTTCAGCATGTAGTGACCTCTTCAGTCCTTCAGTGTCTCTTCACTTCAGCTTTAGCTTTAAGCCTCAACTCATTTTAAGCTTTCCCGTTAAGTTAGCGAATAACAACACGACTACTGTCTTTAACCTAAATGAAACTGTTGTCCGTATAAACTTTTATATTTCATGACAAGTTGGAGAACTTAAAATAAAAGCTTTACATACCCCAAACACTTTGAAGACTGTAAGCTAAATGCTGGGGAAAGGACTCCGGAGTGGATCGTCAAAATAAAAGCTACGCGCACTGCCTTTTTAGCGGAAGGAAATGACGTCTTACTTCCGGCTAAACTAACTGTTTTTTTGTTTTATTCATTCATTTATTTGCATTCGAAATATAAAGAGTAAGTTGAATGAAATGAAAATAATAAATAATAAAACATAAATAATAGAAAACAACAACAACAAAGACTGTAATACAATTAAAACACACAGGAAATAGTTTTTATAGCTTTTCATTTCAGTTTTCATTTTAGTCACATTTGTAAAACACTTATTTTAAAACAAACACAAAAGCAAGTTGACAAGATCAACCAAAACAAAACAAATCTATGATGATTTTGTCAAAGTATAGGAAGGGACAGAATGATTACTTGAAGGCTAAAGTGACTTCGATGGTGTAGTTTGGCTCCCTCTATTGGTTCTCATGGGTCACTTAAATAGTAGCGTTACACGTTGACTCATTGAATGAATGGCTTGATTTAAGATACGTAAACTCCGGGTGGTGGAGAGTTTTTATTAAAGCAATAATAATAATAATACTAATACTACTACTACTACTACTAATATAGCAGCCTAGTAGTCTCTTAAAACCTTTGGATTGAATGGTAACTGGGTTAATTATACAAGGGTTTTACTTCAGATAGCTTTGTTTTAATCATTGACAGTATAGTTTTAATCTTGAATGATCATCAATGGAAGATCATTCAAGATTCAATGAAAATTATACATATATTAATGCATATGACACCAATTTGTAAGCTAAATATTTAACAGTGTGGATGGTGGATACATGACCAGCAGAGAGAGGGACTGACTTTCAAAATGAATTCCTGTCAGTTTTATTTATTCTTGTATTTGAATAACGGAGTAGCATTAATTTAGCACTAGTAGTGATATAGTTTGAGATATACTCGGAGCTGCGGTGGACTTTGATGAATTCTGAAACTTCTTCTCTCCTGAAAGTGAAACAGAAGTTAAACTGCCAGATGAAATTTCATCTAGTCACGGCTGGAGTTTTTGGACTTTGAACCACCTGAGCCATCAGGTGTGACATGATCCTACCATGAATTTGCGGGAAAAATAGCATCCCATGCTTGTTCTTCTTCAGTTTTCCCCTCTGAATTCATGAATCAAAAGCAAAATGAACTGGACTTATGTGATAGTTTCATGCTGCAGTGACTCATATCAAGCCAAGCTATCATGTACCATCAGTGAATTACAACGGCAGTGGGAACTTCTCATCTGTCACCTTCCTGGCAACTTCACATGACAAATGCTAACTTAAATAAACCGTGTAGAGCTATGTCACACAGAGAAGTCACAGTGTTAAGTACATGTGTGAACGGTCGTCACAAAACTTCTCCGTATTACATCTGTTTATTTTTCTTTTTGAATACAATAATTTACTTATTAATAATTTAAATTAATTACATTTAAAGGAAAAATAAATAAAAGATGTCATGTCAGTGTTTCAGATATCCTTGCCTCGCCAACACCGTGTCTTTGTCATAGTACCTTTTACAGACAGACAGCTATTTTACCTGTTTTCCGTAAGTGAAAAAGACTGTGAAAATAAAGCTTCTCGTCACATTAGCTGATATTCCTGATTCAGCCAAGAGGTAAGCACATGGGAAACCCAGAAATGTTTTATGGTTCGATGTTATGCAGGTTGGCACAGGATAATGTCTGGATGACACCCTGCTGTATATTCCACATGAGGGATGACTTGACATGCAGGTAAAAATTCCCTCAGATAAGGTTATTTCATTCAACTCCAGCTTTCCAGCTTTCAGCACATGACTTGTTAAGTGTTGTGTAAACATCTTGGTTTTGCGTGTGTGTTGATTTAAACGGTACTTTTTTACAAATACATTTACATGCCAAATGAAAATTCCACAGTATTGACTGCTCTGGGGTATTGAGTCAAATACATGTGACTTAAACTCATTGGGCAAAATTCTGCTTTGTTTAAATTTACTCGTTAATATTGCACTATGGCTTTTGTCTTTATATGCAATACTTCTCATCAGAGTAGCTGTTATGTTAGGGTGGCATAGTGCTGTCATGGTTAGGACTGTCCCCTCACAGCAAGAAGGTCCTGGGTTTGGGTCCTGCGTGGACTTTGGATGTTCTCCCCATATCTCCCCGTGTGTGGGTCTACACCGGGTATTCCTGCTTCCTCTCACAGTCGGGTGGATGGATGGATAAGAAATGCTGAGGCAGCAGTACTTTCAGAGCTCATTTAACAGCTTCACAACCAAAGGTGGACTCAGCACCCACCTATAGCTCTTCTCATGGTCTTAATGCATGATCACTACACAACTTCATCAGTCAATCAGTCTGTTGGTTGACTTTGAATGATCCCCTTAAAACTAATACGTTGGCTTTGCTATATGAATTTTGCAACCCAACCTAATTTAGATCAAGTAGTTATGTATTTTATCTTATTCTTTTTCTTTCTGGATATTGTTTATTGTTGCCGTCATTAGTAATACTGAAAAAGTAAAACTTTAGTAGAGAAGCTTTGGTGGGATCCAACTTCTACCAGGAATGTGCCTGATTTACTGCCAGCACAGGAACCAAGCTCTAACTGGAACTGAAACAATGAGCAACACCCTGGTGGAGTCAAATGTCTTCTCCAAGCCCACAAAACACATATAGACTGTAAACGTGTAGACACATAGCCACCTAGGTGAGGGGTTTTTAGGCATGTCCTGCTGGGAAGAAGACATGGGGGAGACCAGGACACACTGGCCTGGTGGCCTAGGAGGGGATATGTCTCTGCTTAGACTTCAACTCTGATGACCCAGATCCAGAAAAGAAGATCGATAGATGGATAGATTCTGAGTTAAAAACTTAATCAAAGAGTTACAGAGACACTATTAATAACTGTAGTTTTTAAAGGTGTTACATGATAATAAACTATACTAAACACTTTTAAGGGGAATGAGTATGGCAAACACTGAGCTGAGGTTAATAAGAGCATGTCTTGCTCATTACTTACCATCAACAGAGTATTACTATGATGTAGTAGAGGGGAAAACCTTAGGTACTGGCCCTGCTGGTGTTAAGTATGGAAAAGAAGGATAAAGCATTAATAAGTTACTAATAAAGTGATACTGTGCCATTAATAAGCAATTTGTAAATGATAAATATTTAACTTAGCATACTGAAATTCAAATAGTTACATGCAGTTTAAAAAGAACATCTATGAAGACAATGAACAAAAATTACAAAGTATTATAGTATAGTATAGTAATTTTTGGTGCCTCAACCCTGAGTCAAAGTATAAAAAAAAGCCAACGACATCATTGATTGATTGATCTTAACCATAACCCATGGTAGTAGTTAATTAGTTTTCTCAAGTCTTGATAACCAGAGAAATGTAACCATTAGCCATTATAAGTGGTACATTAAATAAATAAATAAATACATTTTCTAAGAAAAAAGTCCTTCTTGATTCTTTCCCCCAAGTTATAGAGTTAGGATTATGACCTTAGACCGAGAGTTCAGGTGCTGCTGCTGGAATTTTACTTATTATTTACACTAAAATATTTACACAGCCTATTTTCTTTAAGTAGAGGATATCTTTGCTAACTCTTTCATCACTAATGATGATATTGTTATGAGTTTTACCTGGATTAATATTTACAGTAAGTGGTCAAACTGGGTGATACTAAGGTAGTATAAAAAATTCCCGATAAAGGACGCCATAGTTTGGGAGTCCTGACCACATAGACAGAAACAAGTGCGTTAAAAACCCCACAAAAAACTAACCAGTATTAGTTTCGGACACAAGCTACAGGACTCGAATGTTGCTCAATATGTGTTTGCTGATCATTAATGTTTGAGCCACTATATTTGGAGGAGTTTACTGTCGGGAACATTTTGATCGCTTCTTTATCGGTGTGTTACAGTAATCACAAGTCAGCTTCCGTGTGAGCAGCGGAGAGTTAATTTCGAGCCGTCTAAGGTTTCCACGAAAAAACACGCCGTAATTTCATAAAGAAGTTGAGCTGAGTACAGTAAAGGAAGGAGGCGTGGCCACTTCTCCTGCCTTAACTGTTCGAAGGGACTGACGGAGGGAGTTCAGATCACATTTAGAGCTCAAGGAAGAAGGAAATAACTAATGAGAACACAGCTGGCTGTTTTTGAATGACCTACAGGTAAGAGGACATATTATTTATTTAGGACAACTCAAAAATTTATATATATATATACACATATATATTTTTAACACTAGAGCAACACCATCAATAATAACAATATTAATAATGATAAAAATAATAATGTAAAGATATTCTATGTTCTGTATCTTTTTGCATGTACAAATGAGCCATTTACATTTTTTCTGTTTTTACACGGGCCATCTATTTTTGATGTTAACATTTATTTTTGTCTTTGGATTCTGTTTCGACTCATCTGATTTATCTGTGTATGCATACACGTACTCTAAAACTCCCTTACTATCACGTATCAGATAAGACTATGGTTAACCAAACATATGACAGATCTTAACAATCAGAGTTCTGCAGAACTGTAGTTGTCTTTCCACTTGGGGAGGAAATCCCGGAGAAAATGTCTATTTATATCCTACTTACTCACCTATCAAAGTTGCTTACTGTGTAAGCAAACAAAGATGCTCTTGTACACATTTGCAGTTGCTGTTAAGTTATATTTTTTCCATAGAAGCCTGGTACAGCTACACTTCCAGATATAATGGTGTGGTGGAAAGATGTTTTATGTAGAGAGGTGGGCTGTTATGTGAGGATGGTGCGGTTGAAGTGTGCTGGCATGGCTTCAGTGTCAAAACAAAAACTTCCCTGTGTTATTTTTTCCTGTTATATAAGATAAAGAAGAGGGAAGTACTTCTTTGGAGCTGAGTCATGCTAGATTGGGATTACCATGTGATATAGTGTCACACAGCTTTTTGCCAAATTAAGAGGCAAACAAGGTCACACTGCACATCTGGTTTTCTTCGGTAAAGTGACTCATGTTTCATCACTAAAGAATCTCAGCATCTGGTAATAATCCCTTTTTTCATCCTCAGATCTCAATGGACTGGGCCCTTCTTATAGTTTTACAAGTGTTATTTCAGCCCTCTCTCTCAGGTGGGTGGTAAATACATTTTTTGGATATGTAGAAGCAAAGTCAGAACAATAACTACATATTTGACACGTGAGGCACTTACAGCTGCAGAGTGAGATTATGTAAAAAGTATAAGATGCTTGTAAACATTTTAAGACTGGAGTATTTACCTTCATCTTGGCATTATTTTGTGTCATTTCCCTGCAGTCTTATTCACTGTTGAGGCAGAGCAAAGCATGTATACGTCAGAGTTTGGAGAAAGTGTCGTGATGGGCTGCAAGTTCAACCCTAAACCCTCCTATCCTCATCCTGACCTGAACGTGACCTGGCACTGGATCAACTCTGACTCCGTTCAGGACGTGATCCGGCTGGATAATGGCGTGGCGCGCTCGGAATCTCCAAAGTATCGGGGACGAGTGCAGCTTCTGACCGAGGAGCTGGCGGAAGGCTGGGCTAAGCTGAAGGTAATTCCTGGCACTGAGCTACTCAGACTTACATAATATACATGTTGGACGGCTTACCGCTTAATTCCTACTAACTTTACTCTGAGCATTAAGCTTGTTTAAACTTGCCAGCTCTTCTTCATCTTTTTAAAAATTACTCTCAACAGGTTTAAATTCCCTAGAAAGTGCCACAGGATAACTTTACTGGAACTTTACAGGGGTGTATACTCATAAAATGACTAAGTCTGTTTAATTTTTTATATTATAGTACAGAATAAAACCCTAATAAGAGAGGCAGAGGGAGGGATAGAGCTGAAAAGTTTTCCATTTTGGTTTCTTTAAGAGGGCATAACAGAGGACTCTTGTTCTTTTGTCACTTTACAGATGTCCAGTCTTAGAATCAGTGACGCCGGGAAGTACCAGTGTGTGGTTCATTCAGCGGATGGAGCCGACTATAAAACTATAGCCTTGTCTGTTGAAGGTGAGAAGTACATGTGTTGCAGTGTAGGCCTGTTACTTTTCTTTTCTGAAGATTTCACAAGCATTGTTCTGGGAATGGTCTCGTAACTGCCAAAGCGCATGGTCATTTCTGGCCAGTTAAAGTTTCACTCAAACTGAAAATGAAATAAAGACCACTATTAGTCAATTTTGTAAAAAAAAAAAAAGAAAAGAAAAAAGAAAACAATCTTTGACAAACTCAGCACATGCTGTTATCAATCTTGTGTTACAATAGAACGTCATTTTCTTCCCTAGCATCTTATAAATCAGTGACCAAACACATTGAGAGGGCAGCAACAGGTGATGAGGTCCTGATAACCTGCCAGTCTGAGGGATACCCTAAGTCAACGGTTGAATGGCAGAATGGAAACCTGAAGACACTCAATCCCAACACCACTGCTGAATCAACACCAGACCAGATTTTTAGAATCACCAGCCAGATAAAAGTCAGCTCATCAGAAAAAAACAACTACACCTGTAAATTTACAAAAGACGGCAGCTCTGCAACAATTTATATTCCAGGTAAGCGTTCGTTTCCAGTCTTGAAATGGTACATGGTATTTACATGTCCTCCTGCGTGTGCATGAGAGTTAGATGCAGCTTATAGCTGTGCCTTTGAGATCAAAAGGAGGGCTTCGTTTCAGCAAGGCGTTGCAGAAGTGGATTTCTTCCAAAACAATACTCACAATATTTAACAGGAAGGGGGATGTAACATAATCCCAGCTTTTCCAGGTGGGAATCATCCAGCTGTACTGTGTGCCTCCTTTAAAAAAAAAAGGAGAGAAAAGGCTCCAACATTACATACTGTGCCTGTTTAACTGATCAGAAAGTGAAATAGATTTTTTTTAAACAGTCCCCAAAAGAGCAGATGACACTAAAGTTTAAGTGAAGCTCTAAATGTTCAAAGGAAATATGTTCTCATAACCTGTGTTGCTGTCATCACCAACTTCCTGTTATGATTAGAATTTTGTTTTGTACATGTTGGCTTTTATCCCCACCCTACATCAAACTGCAGAGACTTAGATATGTAGATATGATTCCCCCACTTTTTCCACCGCTTTCCTGGAATTCAAAGACCCTCCCATGTGTTTCTGTGAAGCCGGTGGGTGGTGTGTGTCTGGTGTGTGGATGTAGGTGCATAGCAAATCTTCAAATGTGAGACTTTTCCGTGTCTGCATGTAGGGTGCTCATTGTTTTCACACCAATATGGAAAAAATATATATTTAATCATAACACGTATCGAAACCGTTTCACTTTTAATGTGCTTTGCGTGTGTCATATTTATTTCTTTGATGAAAAACTAGCCACATTTTCCCATGCGGTATTTCCTACAGGAAGCTTTATTGTAAGTCATATTGTAATGATAAACACAAAAGGGTTTAATGATGATCCTGTTGAGGGAAATGAGAAATATATTTTAATTCATTTCTTATACATATAAAATGTTCAATGCTAGAGTAAGAGAAATGTATTTTTAATACAAGAACAAATAAATAAATACATAAAATATGTGAAAGAAGATATTTTTATGTGATCATATCTGCCATTGCACCAGCATAACGAGGCACTATAGCTGCCATAAGGTTTTGTCCTTGACCAGCAAAGGGGAAGTTTGTGGTTATATGCCTTTGGTATGTTTGGTTATTTCCAGAGCGGCTAAAATTGCTAAAGCATAGATATTACCATGAAATACTAATCCCACAATGTTTTGACTCTTTTCACAGATGAAATACCACTTAGTCCTGCAAAAAGTGATGCTGTCATCATTATACTGTGCATAGCAGTGATAGTGGCATTCGTCTCTGTCGGAGTGGTCACCTATCGACGACGAAAAGGTAACCAATCAGTCCCTCAGTTCAGCACAGACAGGAATGCTTACATATCCTGTGTCGTGCTGCAGACAGAAATGTTGGTTTCAAACAAAATGATGGGTAACAATTTAGTGAGGTGTTAAAATACCACAGATAGCAGCAGTTATCTTGAATAATGGGCTTAGATAAAAACAGTTATCTCAAACAATGGATACTTTGCAAGATATTTAAGAAACAAATTCAAAATGAAAGCCAGTCATCTTGCAAAACCTGTAATACAACATGTAGGTGATCTTAATGCAAACCTGCATTTCCCTTTGCCACAAAAACAGACAAAGTATTTAACACCTTGCTGCAAATGCTCGCTCTGGTTTCATTTTAAACATTCAGTAAAACTGCATAAAATGTGCAACGACAGAGCTGACATCGGCTAAATGATTTTAACTTTAATGCCCAAGAAAAACCAAAACTTTGTTGTTGGTCTTGTGCCAAACAGCTCACAGACAATCTGAATTCATTACTCAGCACTGCAAAACGTATCTTTCCTGTGTCAAAGGCTGCGCAGCTCTGACTGGGAAAAAAAGAAAAGAAAACAACACATGCATACTCCCGGGAACACTGGTGACACTGTAGGTCATGTAAAAGAGGAAGCATCTGTGAACGTTTCAGGAGGTTCTTGTCCGATTTGTTCTATAATGCTTGTGATTTGAACAAAACTTTGCTGGAAATTCTTTAGCATGTGACCTGCAGTGTTTTTTTTTTCTTTTTCGTGTGACCATGACTTAGCTTTTTACATTCTACTGCGTTTCGCAACTATCAGACCAGACTGGCTAGATTGTGGGAAACACCCAGTGTGGTTTTAGTTTATCTACAAGGGGAATTCAAAGCTAATTGTAAACGCATGGGTGATTTTTTCAGCACGAGTTTATATTATTGTTCACACACCTCACTCAAGTTCACTGGAAAACTTATTAAACATATTTTCACATATGAATGTGTAAAAATGACGTTTTACTTACAGATAGATCAGGAAACTGTCACACAGTTATCAGGAAGGCATGGATCTTTATTGTGGTGCTTTCAAGAGCATATGATAATATTGGACATTTTGAGGAATAATTGAAACTTCAAAGCCAAAATATTAGAATCAGAATCACAGAGACTTTATTAATCCCAGAGGGAAATTGAGTGATCATATCTGCCATTGCACCAAGCACTGATTTAAAATAAAGTGTAGAAACAGACATATCGATACAAAAATATAGAGAAATACAGAGATATAGGTATAAATATACATACCTATTTTAGCAAATATAAGGTCAATTAAAGAATGTATAATTCAAAACAAACCAAACCCAACAACCTCCATACATTCAGTGTATCAGTGCTTAAAGACTACATCAGCTGCTGTACCAGTACGTTGCATTAAAGTGCACTTTTTTGTTACAGGGTCCCACAATCACAGCACTCACAGCACCAGGAACCTCCTGGAAAGACCTGCTCCTACCGCTGCTTCCCGTGAGTTCAGTGGTTATGTTTTTATTGCTGTTTTGCTGTTGAATTTCTACACTGGTTATAAATAAAACGGAGTCCTTCAGTGTTTTTCTTTTTATCTTACTGTCCTCCGTGTTGTCATATTTCTAACAATGCTGTTCCGTCCTGTCAGGTCTGAGAAGTTATGACGACAACTATGAGAAAGAGATAGCTCCTTGTAATGAAGGTAGGTAGCTTATCAAGTTGAGAAATATAGTTTACAGGATTTATGTGCCACTGAAAGATTATCTGAAAAGAACGACCTGCAGGATATTTCACATCTTCAGCAAATGACTGACTGGACTTCTTTTTGTCTCCAGGCGACGTTGAGGAAAATCTGGGGTTGAATGTGAAAACGCATTACTCAGAAAGCTTTCTCAGTGCAGAGCGAAGGAATCAATGCATCACTTTCAGTGCGGAGGAGCTGCCTCGCAGACTGCAAAACAAGTGAGTCATAAATACATGCGTCCAAAATGATTGGGAAATAGACGACTATGCATTTATCCGATATCATTTCCCGTACACGCAGCCTTAAAAAAAAATTTGTTCTTCTTTCCAGAAAATCGCATACAATGAATCCTCTTTTCGTTTACTTGCAACCACCCAGCATTGTGCAGAGCTGTGTGTGGCGTGCTACATGAAGTCATCTCAATTAGTGTTCTATTAGGTAGTGGTCCTTGTTAGCAGTAACACCATCCTCTATGAATCTACAGTAATAGATAGCACATTTAAAAAATAATGAGGTTATTATATTTTTAGGGGTCTGAATCAGAATCAGAATCAGAATCAGAATACTTTATTGATCCCTGGGGGAAATTATTTTTTGTTACAGTGCTCCATTATAAACCAACATAAACCAACATTAAGACAAGACAGACAATACACTAACTAAGAATAGTACAATATATACGTATATATACATACATAAGTCACTCATAAAGACAAGTTTATGGTCACAATTAATTTACTGTGTGGACTTCAACTAAATTTGTGTTGTATATTCAACCACAGCCTTCGATTACTTACAGATTTAACTTAATGAAACTATATAATGCTGGGTTTAAACACAGTTCCTGTGACAGCTAAAAACTTTTTATAATACACAAAAGGGAATGACCATGGCATGGCAAGGCTTTTGTTTTCTTTTTTTTGTTCCTACATTTGTGTTTGCGAACAGTACTTCTGCCTATTTAATGCTAATTTATGATAGTTGATTGACATTGTCATGGCTATCGGTTTATCCAAGGCAGCAGTTGCGAAATCAGTGAGCGAGCTTGTGAAGCTCAGCTCAAGAACATTTTTTGAATGCACTGATAGCTACAGTACATGACGATGTATCGCAGTAAAGTTTTTAAATGCAAACGTTGTTATGCAGAAGTCACTGTGAGGTAAAGTAAAAGTAATCTGTAATAAGCCCAGGATCTCGAAAAAGAACTTAAACCTCACAGCCACACCATGCTCTAAATTTGTTTGGGGTTTTGTTGACTTCACAATCTCGACTTTGCTTTTTTTATTTTCAGTGAAGGCCACCCTGTGAATCTTCCTGCTTTACTCCCGGGTGCTGGTGAGACATTTTTCCTTGAGGGACTTCCCGGAAGCGGGAAAACAACTGTAGCCCACATCCTGATCTCATCCTGGACTGAATGGCCCACAGATTCCCTTTCCAACTTCCTCGACCTCAGCGCACTTCATCTTCTCTTATATGTTGACTGCAGCTCCGTGAAAGACGACTTGTTTCAGGAGATAACAACTCAGCTTTCACTCACCAAAAATATATCAACAGAAAAGTTGAGAACTCTTTTAATCACATCTGGCAAGGCTCTGCTTTTGTTGGACAGCTACAAAGAAGGAAACCAATATTTCGATGACTCATTAAGGAAGTTTCTAAGTGAACGAATAGGTTGCAGGGTGCTGGTCACGGCCAGCCCAGGACACTGCCCCGTGCTCAGGCAAACGGTTGGGAATGAAGGAGTTCGAAAGCTTCAAATACAACCTGCAAAGTACTGAGTTTAAAAATAATATTGTGACCAAAAAAAACCCACTGTATATGAGTTAGATTTTTAACAAATGAGGCAAGAGTTTTGTGTTTCTGTGTGTGTGTGTGTGTGTGTGTGTGTGTGTGTGTGTGTGTGTGTGTGAGTGAGAGAGAGAGAGAGAGAGGCATTTAGATTTTTATAAGCCCAGATATGCTGCAGAATGTATGTACTGCATGATGATGTGTATTCAAAGTGATGCTTGGGAAGTTATAGACGTGCAACAAATTATAATTTTGTATTCTTTGTTGTCTTGTTTGTCACTTTCATTACTGTGCAATATCTTTTTTCAAAATTCTTTTAGAGAAAGTACATCATTGTTACTGGAAAAGCTGCATAGTGAAAGCAGTGATAAGAAACTGGTGTTTGCAGAAACGCGGCAATTAAAATCTCCTTTTTCAATACATGTAACAGTTCAGATACAGCAATGGTTTCTGTTTTAGCTCAGTGTGTGTGCATGAAAAAGAGAAAGGTCATAGTTAAGGCATCAGCTAGACTGCAATCAAAGCAGCAACAGCTTCTCTCTGGTGTCAAGAGTAAGAGGAAGTGACACTTTGAGTGTTCCTGACAAGAGATCATTTATGCCAGTAACATTTAATTTAAAAAAAAGAAAGGGTCTTTTTTTAATTCTTTTTTTAAATTTTTGTAGGTTCTTCATTTTGTGGAAAAGCTAGCATGTTTACAAAATTTGAAATGGCATCGAGCCAGTAACTTCTCTCAGCCCTGATCTGTTGCACTGGTCGACATCATCTTTTACTAAACTCGATTGTGCGCTTTTTCGCTACGGCTGGTGACTTTACATGATCTCAAAAAGTCCTGAGTCAGCAGTAAACAGCATGTTGTTGTTGTTTCGTTTATCAAATGCACAAAAAGCGATGAACGTTTGTGTGGTAAATAGAGAAGTGAAAGAAAACATGCTTTAAATAAGAGAATGATATCCAAATAATGTGGCTTACTGCAGTTTACAGTCACACACGTGATGTGCGATTAACACTGCAACAAAACAGACGGGGAAATATTCCACCAAAGTAGTTTGTTGTCTTTAAGCTAATACACAACTAAAATGTGATTTTAAAAAAAGGAAACTCAGCAGAGATGGGTTTGTAGAAAGCTAAAAGAAGACCAAATCCCTAAAGACTCATCACATAATTTTACATGTAGGGAAGAAGGGCCTGAATCAGGGAAGCATCCAAGCAATTTGTCATTTAGCAGCCATAGTAGTTAAACCCAGTAAAAAACAAAACAACGCCCCCTAAAAGAAATTTAAATTGTTGTTACAAAAAGACCTCGTATGTTTGCTTTATTTCCCCATTTGGCTTTTGATTGGCTCGGTTTCCTGACAGATTTTTTTGAGAGTCCAGGATGTACAAGAAGTGTCTAAAAGATCATTACAAGTGGGATAGAAGAAGGAGAACCATCTCAACAGCACTTTATTACTTGTTGTTTTTTTTCTAAGCCAAGATGGCTAATAGCACTCCAATGCTAAGGCACGGTGGAGGCTGCATCATGTTATGGGGCCGTTTCTCAGTAGAAGGAACTGTTGTAATGGTCAGAAATGAGAAAGAGCGCATGCAACCTAGTCAGCCATCTACTTCTCTTTCAGCACAAGACCTTTACCCCAGACAGCATCTGTTTAAAAGAAAGACTTACCCACCTCCAGGCTTTGCCCTTGTGCACTTTGACTTCAATTCTTCACCATTTTTTAAAAATACAAACTTCTGTCAGATCTGTGTGGAAAATCACACACAACTCTGGGAATACCCAGCTGTCTAACTCCTGGAGTTTATAAAAAAATTCTTCTATATAACTCCCTCTTTATATCCAGTAGAATTGATTAACTGATTATTTTTGAAACAATCTGTGACTTCATGGTTTTTACTGGTCAGAATATCATCCCCTCTTTAGATGATATGCATTTATGACAATACAACCACTGCTAAAGATGAAAAAGTGTTTTTATGTGTGTGTGTTTTTGCATATTCTTAACGCAAACAAACTTTTTCTTTGAGAAAATGTCTCCTTTTTCATTAAGCTCACCTCACATTTCTATCATTTTTCAAACTAAGCAGTTCCACAGTAGTTTACGGTTGATTTCTAAAGCCAATTAATTTGTATACAAATTTGTTTGTGAAAAAAAAACAACTTTTTTTATACATTAAAATGGAAGATTATTGGATGTTTTTGAAATTTTAAAAGAAAAGGCTTAAATTAGATCAGCAAATAAGGGGGAACCAAAAAGCAACAATCCTGGAAACCTTTGCCGATGACCTGTAAAAAAGTATCGATGTGGACTAATTTATTTCAATAATGCAAACCAACAAGAGCACTGTAAATTAGATGATCACAGTCCTCATTAGGCAAACATAACAAGCATAAAACAGTATTTTTTTTTAAAATTTTATGCATGTGTTTCACTTTCACAGACAGCTCAAGTAAAGGCAGATGACAGATAATCCATACACTGTGATGTAAGGGCAAACCTTCTGTAAGAAGCTGAGGTGGGGCTGGGTGGGATCTTAGAGGCTGCTGTTCCCTGGAAAAATCTGGCACACAATCTGGAGCGCAGGCATTATCCAAGAAAACCTGCTTTAATGCAAAACCAGGGTGCAGTGTAAACTGGAAACTGGCACGCCATCAAAACACAGATCATTACTTCCAATCAGACCCTAAGAAATCCTTAAGTTGGTGAAGTCATGACTACTATGCCATGGTATCATCCTCATCATTTTTCCCCCACATGTGAGGCTGCAGATATTTAAGTCAAAGGGAAGAATCTGACTCAGAGTCATCTGAGAACAACAATTTCTGCAAAATCTGAACAGCTGAATAAGTCTAAATCTTACAATTTGCTGGTCTGCTAACTCCGCTCTGTCTGAGTCACGATACAATCTTGAAAAACATTCAAGCATGAATAAAGGGGAGGAAAAATAAAAGCCAAATGTATTTAAGAATACATTTGTAACGTTTGCAGAGCTCTGTGTGCAAACTGCTGAGTTTGCACACAGAGCTCTGCAAACGTTTTGGTTCTTCTTCCAGCTTTCATTATTGACTGATCTCTGTGTAAAACTGAGACTAAAACCGGACGCACCCTGACACACTCAACACGCTCAATGTAAAGAGCAACTTGGCAGCCTGCATGTGTCGTACTGGGTACGTTTATGATTCACTTAAATATTTTCCTCCCAAAATTTAGTGATGTGAAAGGGAAAACACGACATACGCAATAAATCTGTTTACGTGCCTTTCAGTCACAAACTTGTTCATGAACTTCTTCGGCAAAGCCAGACAGCAGACAGTAAGGTGGTTTTGTGGGCTGCAGATAGGAAAACGCAACATCCAGAACGCAGGAGGGAGAGAACTCGAATAAAACTCTCGCTTTAATTGGCGATTAAATAAATTCAAAAACACAAAGCCCAAAAACCTCCGATATAATCAAACACTACGAGTCAGACAAGGTAACTCTGTACAACAGAAATGGACCCAAAGCAGATGACATGTCGAAGAAGAAAGGGAGGACTGTTTTATTTATAGCCTATACTTACAACTTGATGGGAACAAGGAACAATCCGACAATCAGAAGGTCAGAAATGAAACAAGGCACCAGTGAAAACTTTTATAAAACAAAACAGGAAGCAATCCAAAATATATCGACTAAACACACAGACAACAGAAAGGAAACAAACTAATCGAGTGGGAAGGTAAGTAAGTAAGTAAAATTTATTTATATAGCACATTTCACACTGGAACTCTTTCCCATGTTGCTTGTCTGTGTTTATTGTGCTATGGTGTGTTGATATCTGTGCATTCCTGTATTATCCTTTTGTGTTACACATTTCAATGTTTTTTTTCCCCCTAGCCTGACCTGTCTCCCCAATGTGATGTTTGTGTATTGTATGTACGGTCGGCAAGGTCTGTCATCTTGGTTGTGGGCAAAAGACCTGCAACTGACAAATAAAGGCTATCTCTTTCTCTCTCTCTCTCTCTCTCACATATAAAAATCACAAAGTGCTTCACAATAAAATCAGAAATGGTAAATGGTAAATGGCCTGTATTTGTATAGCGCTTTTCTAGTCCCTAAGGACCCCAAAGCGCTTTACACAACCAGTCATCCACCCATTCACACACACATTCACACACTGGTGATGGCAAGCTACAATGTAGCCACAGCTGCCCTGGGGCGCACTGACAGAGGCGAGGCTGCCGGACACTGGCGCCACCGGGCCCTCTGACCACCACCAGTAGGCAACGGGTGAAGTGTCTTGCCCCAGGACACAACGACCGAGACTGTCCAAGCCAAGAAATACAAATAAAATAATATAAAACAGTGAAAAAATTAATTAAAAGCTTGTTTGTTTATAAATGTCTTCAGCTGCTTTTTAAAGGAGTCAATGGAGTCTAGACAGTGTAAAGACAACAGCAGGGAGTTCCACAGCCTCTGTGCCAGTGCCTGAAAAGCCCGACCCCCACGTGTTTTAAACCTAGTACGCAGGACCACCAGTAGCCTCTGACCCGACGACCTAAGTGCTCGGGATGAAGCATGAGGTTTCAGCAGGTCAGAGACATACTGGGGAGCTTCACCGTGCAGAGCTCTAAAAGTTACAACTAAAATCTTGAAATGAATCCTAAAATTTACAGGCAACCAATGAAGAGAAGCCAAAACTGGAGTAATGTGTGACCTCTTGTTTGTGCCAGTTAAAAGTCTTGCTGCGGCATCCTGTATAGACTGAAGGCGATCCAGAGCTGATTTGCTAAGACAAGTAAAAAGACCGTTACAATAATCCAAACGAGAAGAGATAAAAGCATGAATAATCATCTCAAGTTCTGCCTTTGACACCAGTAGTCTGAGTTTAGAAATGTTTCTTAGATGATAAAAACAGTTCAAGTTGTTTAGAGTGTTTCTCAAGAGACATTGAACTATCAAATATAACACCTACGTTTCTGAGACTCGACTGAAATGAAGGGTCTAAAAAACTGATATGCTGCTTAATTTCTGAGAGCATGTGATCAGGTGCAATAATCAAGGTCTCCGTTTTATCTGCATTTAACTGGAGGAAATTGTCATTTAACCATCGTTTGATTTCTGACAGACAATTATTTAAACACGACAATTTATAAAACAGAAGTTTTGTAAGAACAGTATAATATAATATAATAAGAAATAAAGTCAAAACAGAAAGCGAAATGTTATACAAGACTGAGTCTCAAATGATAAAGCCAAAAGCAGGAAGTTATAATGACCAAAAACAAAACCAAAACACAGCACTAAAGAAATAGAAACCAACCTTACCATAAACCAAAAAAATAACAAATCCCAGGGACCATCACAGACAGGAGGCTTTTTCTTTAAAGCCAAAAGAGGGTTTTACCCTGGCAGTGAGCAACAGAAAATCTGCCCTGAAAGGAGAAATATCAGTCCCTCGTAACCACGAACATAAATCCAAATAAATGCCACATTTACTTGAGATCAGAGAAATAGATAGGAAAGGCAATAAATATGACTAGACTGAACAGCAAAGCCACCCACGATTATTACACATTATCAGATTTTATTGCCTTGTTCTGATCAGCAGCTGCCTGTAAATGATCTAAAACAACTTCCCCCAAACTCTAAATTGCTAAAGCAGAATCTGCTTATTCGGGGTTTTTTGGTAAGCCTCGGATTTTCTGCTCTTCGCAGCAAATTCAAAAATGGATCATTTTTTGGTTTAATCATTGCGCCTTTACTTTGTTCACTGGAACTGCTGGAAATTTCATTACATTTGTCTCTGACAGGGCTTCATCATTTGGGATTGAGTGAAGAGGAGGGAAAAACACTTACTGCCATGAAAGAGCCAGGAGCTGAAATAACCTTTTTTTCTGAATCATTACATTTTAGTGTACACACACTACACACACACACACACACACACACACACACAACACACACACACACACACACACACACACACAGTCATCAAAAAAATCCATCAATCCTCATTCTTCTACATTAGACACATAACAGACCGCATAATCGAAGCAGTTTGACCACATTTTCAGAAACATCAGGACTCAGCTTCATTTAGTCAAAAATGCCTCTTCCATAGCTTCCACATTTTAGTATCTTCTTATTCTTAGGAAAACCCAAATTTACGGGAAGCACCAAATGTGTTGCGATATTTTGGGGATGGTTACAGACAGAAGAGAAGTGGTTAATGATGCAAGAGGGGCTTCTTCTTTGTGTTAACATAATTTCACCACCCTCAGCTCTCGCCAGAAAACCATTTGCCAAAGAAACAAAAACTGAGCTCATACGTGCTCTCTCTCAGCTACAAGCCTGCGCCTACATCAGAAGCCTCATGTATTTCATGGCTTTAAGTCTGGGTGACGTCTGGGTTTATAAAGCTAAACGGTGAGTGTAAACCAAAGCTAAGTACTTACTGGGAATTTACTTTTCAGAGATTTCTGTTCATTTAATCGGTGTTTACAAGCATGTTGGTCCAGCCATTAAAGCCTACTTACTGTGGGATCCATCGTTGCCTGCTGTGGTTATAAAAAGTCATTAAAATGTTTGTAAAAAATGTAAAAAAAAAAGGAAAGAAAAAAGAAACCAAGATAAATCATTTCAGAACTTTTTCCACATTCAATGTGTCCTATAAGCTATACAATCCTGTTATAAAACAAACCAACATCTCTTAGTTTACTTTCCAGTAGGAGTTTCCAGACGTTAACTTAGTTGCAGCAAAATCCATCATCTGCGTAAGCAATCAAAGGGATCAGTTGGAACACAAAAGAATTTCCAAGACATGAGATGGGTCACGGAAAACAAAGATGACGGTCATCAGTAAGTGAAGAAAACAGGGACAATATGGCACATTACATAAAAACTGGAAAGCCCCTCCAAAACTGATGAAAAGAAAAGAAGAAAGCTGGTGAGGGAGGCTTCCAAGAGGCCTGCAGCAACATTAGAGAAGTTGCAGGGTCATGTACTATATGTGACAACAAGCTCCATATTCTGTATATACGTGAGCCTGGGGGAGTTGGGTTGCAAGATGGAAGCTTTTTCTTATAGAGGAAAAACATCCATTTAGGCTCAATTTTGCAGCAAGTCACTAAAAAGCGTGTGATCTGATGAGCCCAAACATCTGCTAAACAAGGTAGTGACTATTCTTCTTTAGCTAGAACAGAGGAATCTGCTAGAAAGCTGAAATAGAAGATAAATTTCACCTTTCAGCACACCACCACTACACATGCACCCACGGAAAAACAAAAATGGCTGAACCAGAAGATGATTAAAGCTTTGGAGTGGACCGGTGAGAGCCCAGACCCGAACCCAGCTGAACATCTGTGTGGGGTCCTGGAGAGAGCTGTGCACAGGAGATGCCCTCACAATCCGAAGCACTTCCACAAGGAAGGCAGTGCAAATACTACAAAGTTAAGATGTGCCATGATGAAAGAAACTTTCCCTAAAACAAGTGAATGCTGTGTTAAAACCAAAAATGTGTTTCCACAAAGAATTAGTTTAACCTCCTAGGACCTGGAGGTTTTTTTGGATTGTCTCGACCAAAATACTAAATTTTGCTCTACAAGGGCCTGATATCCACTTACAAGGACATTATGCTCCCACTGTTTTATCAAAATTTAAAACAAATGTCCTCATATGTGGATCTCACTTTTGTCAAAAACAAAAATCTGGTAATTCTTTGTTTTTACATTCATCAGGTCCCAATCAGAACAAATACCAAAGAGAAATTAAAAATGCATGCCGTGAAAGAGTTCAGGTCTTAGGAGGTTAAGGGTGTCCGTATTTATTTACCAACCAGGTAAAGGATTTCAGTTTTCAGCTGTATTAAGTTACAGGTCACGATAAAGGTGGAAAAAGTTCTGAACTTACTGATCTTGGTCTCACTTTTTATGCACACACGCAAAAACAGACACTTTCTTTAG